GTAATAATCTAATAGCATTGTCTTGTTGGGGTAATACAGCACTCCTCACTATGCAGTAGCTCTGAACAAGTTTCTAATATATCTATGTCATCATGGCAATGAATGTCAATTTGGGTGTGTTAACTGCCTAAGGGGATCTGTTTGAGATACAGATTAGTTCAGTGTTTGCTCATGTACCTGGTCCATATAACATGACATTGACAGGATGAAGATGCTCTCTAGGTGTGTGGATGAGGAGAAAGGATAATGAGTACTAACAACAATCAACAGTTTTGAATTCAGGGAGGCTCAAAGAATGTGCAATGATATCTGCTTCCTGAAGTTTGATCCTTTTCATCTTGTTGAAAATTTGTTTGACATGAGGCACAGTCACATAAGGGGCAGATTTTCTGTCTGCACAACTTGTGGACCTCATCTCTACACATCTTGCAGACCTCATGTCTATGCATCTTGTGGACCTCACATCCATGCAACTTGTGGACCTCATGTCCATGCATCTTGCAAACCTCATGTCCATGCGCCTGATAGACCTCACATCCACATTGGTGCATCTTGGGACCTCACATCCATGCACCTTGGGATCTCATGTCTGCACATTTTATGGACCTCACATCTATGCATCCTGTGGACCTCATGTCCATGCATCTGATGGACCTCACATCTACATGTCTTGGTGGTGACTAGCATCCTAATCAAAGAGGCCATAGATGTAGAATGCTAGATTCTGAGATCACCACAGATCAATTGGTTGTCATAGGATCATGTGTCCAAGGCAGTTACGTCACAGTAGCCTGTGTTTTGAGCACTGGCAAGTTGTTGGCTTCCATTTCAGCAGAGATCATATTTGTGTCTGGGCATCAAGGATTGCAAAGATTCTGTCCCAGGTGCAAGATTTGGTCTCTGTTTAGGGATAATGGTGCCACCGGCAAGTGCAGAATAGATTGACCACACTGCACCTTCAAATGTATCACAGGAGGAGCAGTCTCATGGGTGGTAAATGCTTGAGGCATTGAAAGAGGAAAGAGAGCAGCACAGGGAAGTGCATTTGTGGGTGTTACAAGCACTGCTTTTGCAGGACATTGCCGTTTCTTTGACAATCAAGACTCTGGTAGTTGGTGTGTATTGAGTTGCACATCAGTTGATGTCTGGATATTACTTACTGTAAGGGTAATTTTGTGTCTACAGTCCACCTGCTTTTGGCAGATTCAGATGTCTGCAAGATGAAGCAATCAGTGGCTACTGCATACTGTCACAGCCCGGGTCTGAGAGTTGACCTCTGGAGAATCAGAGTCCGATGGATGAGGTGGCTATCAGGCAAACAAAGTGTGAGAATACCCAGGACAGGAGGAAAGCAACAGAAAATATTTGTACAAAGATTGAGGTGGGAGTTATTTAGTTATTGCCAGATTACAGCCCTCTACAGTCCTCTATTTGACAGATCTTGCCCTAAACATGTATAGCCACATTGAGGGGTCTCAAAAATGGCGCAGCAGTCACAAATGGTTTGCTCCTTGGTTCCTCCCTCTTGCCATCCAACAACTGTGCAGAGTGACATGAGCCAGGTCAACCTGTGGGTAATCTTGCACTCAAATTCCAGTTCTACAAGCTCACAGCTGTTTGAGTGTGTGACAAGTGCTTGATTCCAGCTTCCTCACTATCCTGGATGCCATGCATGTAGTGATCCCCAAAATTTGTTCTCCTGAGCTGTAGGAAAGGCGCCAAGGAGACAGCAGCAAATCTAGCAGTGTGGAACTCTTCTAAAGTAGCATAACTTCTGGCTGATATAAGCAGCAAGCATACAGCCCAATCGAAGACCTTTGTCTGGGAAGCCACACAAGAGATTTGAGCAGACACATGCCTGGAGACATTCAATATAAAGGGCAAGCATTCAAAGCATCAGCTCAGTCGACTCTTGAGCAAGAGATGGTCCATAAAGGGAAACAAGCGATGGCCAGTGGACACACAGCATGGGTCAGGATTGCTGGCCAAGTGGCATGGACAGAGGATATGAGCACTGAATTGGAACCTGGTGGGTGACATTCATGTTCACCTAATCCAGATCTATGACTGAACTAATCACCATCCTGTTATTAGAGCAGCTGTTGTTCAAAGAGGAGGCGAGCATGTTTTCCAGTGATCCTGAGACAGAAGGCAAAAGTCTTATTGACTGGCATGATGTCAAGCCCTCGAAGACCACACAGGTCCAATCTGGCACCTATTTATATAGTCACCCAGAGGCCCACAGGAAAGCAACTTCATTCAAATTCAGGGGTACATGAAGAAGCTGAGGGGACCACAACATCATCAACATTGAGTCTGATAGTGAGGTGGAGGTGTCTGACATGGCATCAAATCCCGTCTATGATAAGCATGCTCCCTCCAGGTGCTCAACAACAACTCATCCTCAGTCTCATCTGGTATCCAATGTTCCTAACAATGTTCCTGAGAGAAGTGAGAACAGTTATTGATCACCATCATCCGCACTAACCCAATTGTAGGTTCAAAAGGATGCTCACATATGAGAGATTTGGGACCTTGTGTAGGCACAAAATGTGCAAGGGTCTGGGCAACAAGTCCTCAGGTGTGTCCATCAATCCAAGGCTTCCTCCCCCTTCACTGATTCCTCCATAGTACCACTTGACTTCCTCTCTGCAAATGTCGCCCCAAAGTGCATCCACCAAGCCCGCCAAGTCCGCCAAGCCCATTGTCCACACTAACCAATTGTCAGGGCACCAGCTCATTGCTTGGTCAAGAGACATGACTAAGCCTTTATGACATGGAAGTAGCTGGTATACCTTGGCATGTGCTGGAACCTGCTGGAAGGCTTGGATGGTCAGGTGACCTGCTGTGCATGGCTGTGCATGACCTCATATAACCTCATCCTTGGTCATATGACCTGATCACCTGACTAGGCTGAGTAAGCAAGATGTTCTAGCAGGTTCCACCACAGAGGTATAAATATAAGGCCTACTCTGCCTGGGGACTGTCTCTTCAGACTTGGTCTCTTAGGATCATCCACAGGTACCTATACTGTAGATAGGTCTTAGTCATCAGGTCTACTCCACTTCCTTGTTGCCTGCTTAGACTCTTGGCACTCTTAGGTGAGCAGACTTAGTCAGCCTGTGTTGCCCTAACAGGAGTGAAAGTGTGGATGAAACAGATCTGGTGCTTGTCAAAGTGGTTTGATCGGGGCTGAGTAAACAAAAGTTGGGAGTTGAGCAGAGAGGACATAGGCCCAAATGTATGTGCA